ATTGTCTTTTTTACAATATTACATATAATGTGATGTAATATTAATTAAGTAAATACATACTAAATAATGTATCCCACTAATTATTCTTTTAATTTCACTCATTATATAAAACATTGAAAGAAATTAAAACACTTAATCATTGTTGAATAATAATGTTTATATTAAACTACATTTCTATTTCGACAAAGAGACAATGAGAGGGTTGGCCAAAAGAAAAGAAAAAGGGAGAATGAGAGGAAATTAGGAGCCATCCCTCAGTGGGGGCCACCCAGGAAGGTTAATATCGCAATATCTAGAAGAGATGAGGTATTTGTGGTAGAGGTGGGATTGCCAGGCAGATCAATCTGTTCTGCACTACTGCATTTGCTTTGATCCTTGAGGAATGCTTGCTTTGCCAATAGGTGATATACATTTAATTTCTTTATGATAAAGTTGAAATCTTGCCAACTATATAATGCTGCCTAATTGTAGTTTTTGTAGAAGTTTTATTTAAGTAGGAGTTCTGCAGAAATGCTAAATCATACCAATTTACATTACTAAAAAAAATTAATAATAAAATTTGAAATTGTTAAAAATTATTAAATTCAAAAACTTAATAGAAGGATGCCGAAAAAAAAAAGAAAAAGAAAAAGAAAAGGAAAGAAAAGAAAAAGAACTTAATAGCAAAAGATCTACTCCAAAGGTAATATATTTTGAGTTTCAGTTTAGAGTAGTGGCGCAAAGCACCAAAATTGATATTTTATGATGGTATTTACTAATCAATATTATGATAGTGTTTATACTACAAATAGCAGATTTTGGAAGAAACTCATCAGTTCTTCTTAGAACAAATGCATCAATGTATAGCCTTCGATGCTTCTAACCCATATATGAGCTTATACTTACATAAAACTTAAGGTAATGATGGCTCAATATTGGGTTGCAAATTTGGTATGACATTATCATCAAATGGAGAGTGGTATTTTGCCATTTGGTGTTTATATTAAAAGAAATCTATTTAATGGGAAGCAGAATATCTAAATCCACTCCCAAAGTATAGTAGTAGGACAGATCCATCCTCGAACAAAAAATAGAGACAAACCCACCCACAAAGTTTCAACTTAGACAAATCATTCCAAATTTAACGTGTGACATCATCTGACATCAGCAATCTATTAATTTGACGTCATTTAATGTCAGCAATTCGTTAATGAATGCAATTCGTTAATGAATTAACGGATTGCTAATGTTAGATAATGTCACATGTTAAATTTTGGGTGATCTATCTAAATCGAAAACTTTGTGGGTGAATTTGCACTTGTTTTGTTCAAGGGTGGATTTGGGCATTTTGCCTAATGGGAATGGGTTGACAAACAGGATTCTTGGTCGCTTTCTCCACGAAACGATGATAAGGACACTTTTAACAAAAATTGTGTCACTACCTCACTAACAAAATGCGTATTTTTGTAGCTCTCAAGATTAATCTATAAAAACCCATAACGCTAGCTACAATTATTGGTGATTATTTTTCCAACTTTGGTCACTAAATAACACAAGTGTTATTTTATTTAACACCTCTTCACCACTTATTTAAAGGAAATTGGGATTTTTCATTTAAAATCTCAAAATTTTATCCAGAGAAAGAAATTAACATAACATTGAGCATAGATTATCTTTATACTAAGTCTGATAATATATAACTCATAGGATTGGATTTATTGGTAAGCAACTATTATAAGTTAAGTTCATAACTCAAGTCTTGAAATTACTACTTAAGAAAAATAATTTCGTTAAATACACTAATTGATGTGGTTGCACCCTTTGAAATTACCTTAAAGATGGATTAATCTTGAGGTATGGAAAGTTAACTCAAATACACTCTAATAATAAATACGAAAAGACGAAAAGAAGAAGAAAAAAGGGTCTGCTAATATTTTGGTAATAAAATCATCAATCTCCAAGGGCTGAATCCATTAGTAATGGTGAGTAAATGTCATATTGTAAGATACGTTCAAAATTTAAGTTTTAAGATAAATATCAAAAAAATATTAATTGTTTTTAGATATATCAAATTAATGTAGAGAATATACCTTTAAAATTATTTAAATAAAAAATAATTTTAAAATGTACAAAAATTAATATGAGGACCATAAATACCGACAAAAAAAAAAAATTCATAAACCGTGATATGCATGAGTTGGTAGAGTCATGACTCAGTCCTTTTATGCAACACATGAAAAGGAGACACAAGGAAAGCTGTCGAAAAGTTAAGTACATCCAAAAGGGTCAGTCTTGCGTGGTCGCACGCGAACCTAAATGGTCTAAAGGAATATGATTTCCGCAGATGAATCTAAGAAGAATGACGTCCCCGCTTACGTATACAAATACCAAAAAAACAAAAAAATTAAAATGGGACAAATCTCACCCGTTCCCTGTCTGAACAATAAGAGCCCAAAAAGGGCTGAGGTATTCGATATGATGGAGAGCACAGTTGATATTATAGATCAATGAATGAAGCCCGTGACACATTGGGACATGGGTTCCTCAAAATCAGCCCCCCCATGTGGCCAAGGTTTATCTGTTTGTGTTTTTCTTATTATTATTTTTTCAACGACAATGATTTGTCGATAAGAAATTCTTATTAACCTTTTTTAGCTGAACATGTAACTCAACATGTATATACTCGACATGAACTCAACATGTATATACTCGTTTCATACGTTGTGACTTGTGAGATTTATTATAATAATAATGGGAAATTATATCTATGTAAGTAAATAACCAATTAGAACTCCAAGAAAATAAAATTTAAACTCCTCATACTCATAAATAACCATTCAAAAAATTATTACATAATTTGAATTATGCCACACTACAAAATAAAAGATTCGTAACTAATAGCCGTAAGGAAACAGATATTGCTGATTTAAAGCTCTGTCCCTGAACATGGACACACCATACTTCATAAAGCAGATCCAAATTCATAACTCTGGAATCACAAAACAAATAACACTGTTGGGTTTTCCATTGGTTGCATACTTTGCATTATAAACAAAAGTTAAAATTCTATCAAGAAAACAAAGGAAGATTCATAATTTCCAACTTAAAGCCGAGGGCAACAGAGATTCAATAGATAAAACTTACAGAACAGGAGGAGCATCAGTTCTGTAGCTAAACATTCCCTTGTTTAGTACCTGCAAAATAGAAGCATTTCTTAGATCCACACATGGAATAGGTTATCTTAACAATCATGTCCCAGTTGAAGACATATCTGACAAAAAATAACACTTCCACAATAAAATAAGGACTAAAAAGGATCAGCATGCTCTCTTTCACCATCTCGCAAAGTACTTGAAAGCATACTAAAAACATACGTAATTATGCCAGCATATGAAAATAACAACAAAGATATATAACCTCTGATTGTAATTGCCATAACTCAAACATCATAAGTTTTTAAAGAGGTGCTGACTAATTTAGAAGTAACACATCAACCCTAAAGAATGGTTAACGTCAATAAAAAACTGTTATGGGTTTGGGGTACCCTTGTACTCCGTTTCAATAAATATTATTTTTGCTTTTCAAAAAAACTAAAAAAATAAAAAAAATAAAGAACTGTTATTACCATAGCAGATGGTTAACAGAGTGTTCTCACAAGTGCAACACTGAAGGGTGAAGACCTACAAAATACTTGCTAACCATTCTGGGTAAATATATGCTTTCAAAAAAAAAAAGAAAGAAAGAAAAAAAGAAGATAGAAATCAAAAGAGATGGAAATAAAAAGATGCATCGTGGCCTTAAAAAAAAATAATAATAATAACACGAACTGAGGAAGGAAAAATAAAGAACTTTATTAACATCAAAGCAAACCAATCCTTGTCATTCTGAACATCAATAAAAATATGGAAAAGAAAGAAGACATATCTATATGAAATTAGGCACAACTACTTCTAACGTAGAGAAAATGTTGAATCCTTCTGAGTCTTTTTTCTCTGTTTTTGGCCATAGAATCCTTCTCAGTTGAATTCTTTCAACCTTTTCTTCAGCATGTCCATTGATTTCTTTCTAGAACTTTGCTTCGTGTTTCTGCTTGAAAGGCTCCCAAAGATCCCGTCTGCAGGATCTTCGAATTTTTCACAGATAGCAGCAACCCTCTTGTAATCCAAAGCATTGTAATTCCTCTCCCTAATCACAGGATTCATGAAGTTCTCTGGTTGACTGCTGGACAAAAGGTTTATTAGTTGTCGAGCTTCTATCAAGTAGCTTCTAAAACTACCATCCTTGTATATCTCGCTCAAGTCAGTGCTGTGAAATCTCTCATCAGCAAAATTCTCTGGCATCTGTGGATCATTGTTTAGAGCCATGACTACATTTGCATTGAACCTCTTGACACTATCACTAAGAAATGCTGACACAATAGAATTATAAATGTACTCAAGAGCCCCACTTCCAACCGTGTACAGTGCATCCAAAGGCAAAATTTGCTGTGCCGTTGACAAAATGGTGTCAACGTAAATAACCACCTCATTCATATACTCGCTATTACGTTCGGAAATTTCTTCTGAAGTCCAGTTGATATTTTCTGTAAGTGCCATAAACTCATCCAACTTAGAATTCACCAAGTTCAAAAGAGCAAGATAAGCTGCATCGCTTGAAGTTTTAAGGACAACTTTTGCTGTTAGAGTATCTTGAGGCCTTTCTACTGATCGGATTGGGATCCCACATAGTTTGGCAGCATGTCTAATAAAAAAATACATGCTCTTTCAAAAAATGCTATGTTTGTGGCTATCTGCATGAGGCTTGAGATGCACCAATACCACTACCTTGAATCGTATCAAGTATAACTTCATTTATAAGCACATATCTTCATTTTCCAGGTGTGTTCCCCAGCTTTTTGCTCCATGCATAAGGTTCATTAATGAATTGTCCCAAAAAGATTTTTTTTTGTCTAATTTTTCTTTGGAAAATGATGTGGTCACTTGCGAAATTCCAGTTTTTTCTTTTTTTTTTCCTTGTTGAGCATAACATTAGTTCAATGGAACCTGTTTATGGTGGTATCATACATATTGCACAATTTCATCTTTTATGAAATTCCTTGATGAACATCAACAGTGTACATTAATTCATTCAGTTGGTGGGCCGATAGCCTGTGTTAATTAGAATGTCCTCTCTCGCCAATGTAACTTCATTTGGGTTTTTCACTCAGATCCCATGTACCGTTCTTGTGAGCCCCCAATGATCCTTGAATGATGATCAATTCACCTTTTCTGATTAAAAAAACAGGTGAATCATGAAAATTATCCCTCAAACTTATCAAGTGGTATTGAATAAGCCCCTCAACTCAAATGAAACACATCCCACACTTTATACTTTTCGAATGTGTCAAATAAGCCCTTATCGTCATCAAGTTGTTTGAAGCTAATGGAGATGTGCATCCAAGTGGGATCACTAAGTGACATGACACATTGCTTGACTATTTTTGATGAGGTGGCGATTCATTTTGATGATTAGGCGAACAACCCAATAAATTACCAAAAACCCAGGCAATTATGGTGGGCTAGGCAATCCAAAGAAGTGGGAATTTTTGAAATCCTAATTTTTTTTATTAAACTGATTTGGAGACAAACACAATGAGAATTGTATATTCTTTGATCTTGTAGACGATGAAATCTCAAGATTTGCTCTTGCATAACTAATAGGTGGTGTTTTTTGGGATAATCAAGCAAATCTCAAAGTTTGTTGTAAGTATCACTTTCTCCCTTTTTTTTATTTGCATCAATTTGAAAAAGTGTGAAAGGTATGGCTTTTAACCGTAAATATCATGTTTGATGCCCCACTTGTCTTTACTTGCATGTGCATATGTTCTTTATAGCAATGGCCACTTCTACTGGTGTTTTGACTATTTTCCATGGGAGAACCTTTGAGCAGGGCCCACTATTGACTATGTTAACAATGCATGGCCAATCTTTAATGTGTATGGAATAAAGTCAATTTGGAAAAGATTATAAAGCTTGTGCATGCTTTAGGTTACCAGGACCTTGGGGCTAAAAGCATTTATTTCAAGCCTCCACTTGCTAAATTTGAAAGATTGAAATCAATTTTACATTTTAATTGTTTTGCTAAGATTATTAGTAAAATCATTATTACAAATGATGAATATAGACAAGCTTTTGGTGAGATTAGTAAAATCATCCTATTTCTAACCATATAGACAAGGTTTTGTTATATTTTTTATTAACAGCTTAGGCTATTGTATTTTTGGTTAACAATTTAGATGGTAAAAAACATAACAGGGGAAATGTGTCGACACTACATTTGTTGGTGTCGATACTATAAATTAAGAATTTGAGGGGTGAAACTCAAGGCAGAAGAGTTGCCACCTATATTGTGGTATGGACACCATAACAAGTTCTGCACAAGTCATGAGAAACCTGCTGAGTTGTTCGCTTAATCATCAAGTGAACAGTCAGCTCAACAAAAATAGTCCAGCAATGTGCCATCTCACTTAGTGGATCCCACTCGGATGCACATCTTCGTTAGCTTCAAAAGACTTGATCACGGTAAAGGCTTATTTGATAACTTCAAAAAGTATAAGGTGTGAGATGTGTCTGATATGGGTTGAGGAGCTTATTTGACACACTTGACAAGTTTGAGGGGTAATTTGTATGATTCACCGCACTATACATTCAATTTATTGATATTTTACCATGTAATTACTTCTTTACAATTCTAAGCACTCTCTTTTCTAGGAAGCTCTAGCTCCCCAGCATTGCATGAAATCTTATCTTCTTCCTCAACATTTTCACAAACCTCTTCCAGTGGCTTGTAAGTATAAAGCGAAGCACATATTAGGTAATATACAAGATTCACCACTTGGATCCCACTCACAAGCCAATAGTAATACTCCAGCCTTCCCCGGTTCAGGTTCCTATCAGGCAACCAATTTCTCTTCTCCCCTGTGTACTTGTGCACCAGTGTCACTAACAATGTTCCGATATAGTTCCCAATTGCAGTCGCTATCCAGTAGAGTGCTGCAGCTGTACTTCTCATGCTTTCTGGTGACTGGTCATAGAGAAATTCCAAATGCCCGACATTCATGAACACCTCTGCTATCCCGTGGATGCAGTACTGAGGAACCAACCAGAAAACACTTATGGGAATGATGGCCTTAGGATCGTCTAGTAACCCATGGCGAGCTGCCACGGCTTTCCGTTTCATCTCCACAAAAGAAGAAACAATTGTAGCCAATATATTTACCACGAACCCTATCCCCATTCTCTGCAAGCATGTTATACCGGAGGGGTTTCCAGTAAAACGGCGGGCAAATGGGACAAAGAAGCGTTCGTATAAACAAAGGCCGGTCAGCGTTGTTAGAATGCTGAAGATTGACAGACTGGCCGGAGGGATTTGGAAAGACGGGGACAAGTGGCGGTCCATGGAGCGAGCTTGGAGGATAGTGAAGCTCCCTAGGTGTGAAGATGATGTGACTAGCAAGATTGAAGCGGCCCATATGGGAAACATTCTAATGATGGATTTCAGCTCTTCCACCCTGTGAACCGTCGCCAGCCTCCATAGATTCGGCGGAGAAGAACCTTCAGCTTCCGCTTCTCGCACTATAGCAGCCTTGTCGAACCACCTACACAAAATCATTCAATAAATCGAGCTAAACTCGAGTAACTCCATTAAAGGGAGTAAAAAAATTACAGGTAATTGATTTTACTTGAACTGATCTGTATGTAACAGTCTTCCATGAACAGAGATATCAGCATCCATCTCCCTGTTCTGGTACAAGAGCTTGTGATCTTCAGGTAACTTCTCTTTCCTTTTCTTCACCGCCGCAACAGTAACCTGAGCCAATCTGATGAACGGACTGCCTCCGGGTTTCAGCTTCTTATAAAGTGGTGAACCCAGGATAAACGCAATGACGGACAAAGCCATGGCGATGGTCGGGATTCCAAGTCCCCATCCCCACCCCACATTGTCCTGGATATAAACCACCACGGTCAATGCGATGAGCGTTGCCATTCCCATGCAGAAGTAGTACCAATTGAAGAAATTCCACCTCCGGCCCGCCAGGCTTGATTTGCCCATGTCAATCTGGTCGGCGGCGAATGTGACCACGCAGGGCCTGATTCCACCGGTGCCTAGGGAGGTCAGAAGGAGGGAAATGTACAAGACCCAGAGTTGGAAACTGGAGGCTTTTGTGCAATTGAGTTGACTTGGGCATGGCGGTGGGTGGAGGGAGGGGAGGACGGCAGATATGGTAATGCTAACTAAACCCAGTTCATAGATGAAGGAACTGACCAGAATGGTCCAGAAACGGCCGGCAAAGGAGTCGGCAATGAGGGCACCGATGAGTGGGGTTAAGCTCGCGGTTCCGCTGAAGTTGGTGAGGGTGTTAGAGGCCTGCACCATGGGCATGTTCAGGTCCTGGGTCAGGTATGTTATCATGTTGGCATGGAACCCTGTTACTGCAAATCTGTCACATATTTCATTTGCTGTACAGAGAAATAGAATAGGTGTGTTGGTGTCAATTCAAGTTGTTTCGTCATAAATCATTAATAAGTGATAACACGGCTCCATTCCTCCACACAAATTACGATTACAATTCATTTCATGAAGTACATGTGCAATGTTATCCGAATATAAAATTTCAAAACTTTTAATTAGCAGTATAACAAGTTAATAACAATTTACCATGAATTAAAAATGAGAACAATGTATTTTTGTCTTTTAAAATTTTAGATTACACAATAATAAAAAGCAAATTTCTTCAATTCTTAATTCATTTTATTTACACATCATATGATTTGAAGTTAGTTACTCTTACTTTCAACAAAAAAAAAATATATTATTAAATTACTTGGATAATTGGTGAGGATAATGTACTTTATTTCATACAAATCCAAGTAAAATTTGATTAATATATTGTGGTAGGTTAGATATTATTGTACTATTATAGAAGGATGATATTCTAGCATTTTCTTTGACAACTCACACAACATCCAAGACCTAGTAGGCATATGGAATGGTAATCACAAGACATTAACTTTTTCTCCTTTTTGTGTTTAAGGAATCGATGATGAATAACAAATGCATTCTTGTGGAATGTGGAATAAAGTATTGGAGAATATAGAAAAAATCATATCAAAATAATTCATTCGTTTCTACTTGGGGAATATTCAAGTTAATCACTGTATATGTATGCACGTATGTTTTTTTATATGAACGATAATTTATTGCCGCTTAAAAAAAAAAAGAATAATAACCCATTTATTGATTATCAAAGAAACAAAATGTAATTCATTTACATATGTGCTAACTTTACATAAAATATTAACTGTTAATTTTTAAAATCTAGTTAATGATTTGATACTAGGTATATATTTATCAAAATTATCATAAATTGTTGGATCTAAAACTGAGTAATGGTAAAACTTACATACATATAACCAAACCCTATTATTTTTATTTATTCATTTATCTTTTTAGTCTTAATGTGACCCTTTTATATAATAATATTAAAGAAATTGACGGGGCAACCACCCTTGTGAGTTGTTGAGAACTTCAACTCGGTTACTGTAATATTGGTTTTTTGGATCTAGCGGGCCAACCGATGTCCATAACTCAAAAAGCAGAAACAAATTCTTAAAGGAGTAACCCCCACAAAAGCCAGCAAGCATCCCTACCCCCACTATATATGGCAAAGTAAATTTAACATAGAAATGCACGCCACAAAATCCAATTTATCATTTTTGGTTCATTTATATAACTTGTTAAATGATTTGAATATGAAAATTTTTAGATTGAAGAATTTGATTTTTGATGTTTCTAGAAGTAAACGAATATGAAGTTCGAATTGGATGATTGTATATAAACTAAAAAATCGAGTAAAAAACTACCTTAAAATGAAAAAATTCATAAAAAATTAGCTACTCACCTAAAATAAATGGCATTGTTTTGAGGCCTCCAAGCTTCTTTTTCTTCTCAGTGAGTCTCTTCTCCTCATCTTCATTATGCTGCTGCTGCTCTTCTTCTCTATCTTCCTCCGTGTTCTTGTCTGCCAAATCCATGTTTGGCTTCATTTTCTTACTAAGAAGATCTAAAGAGGGTCATCATTTATATAGAAAAAGGAAGGGGCTACAAGTCCAATGAGGGTTTGGAAGAGAGTAGTAGTGTGAGAGGCAAATTATAAGATGTGGGTTCCACATGCAATATTTGACTTCATTTTCGTTTGTACTAAACGTTTTTAGCCCTTCTCGAACTATAAATTGTCTCCATCTCAATAAGTTTTATTGGCTCATAATTCTAAATTTTAATACTCTATTTTCTTTTTCAATATTACAGAGGTAGTACTCTTACTGTAATGATTCACTTGTATAGGCTATTTGTTTTGGTATTTCGAAAATAATTATTAGTTATTAACTTTAATTGAATTGAATGAATTAGATATTTTTAATTATAAAAAATAATAATTATTAATTATTGAATATTGATTATTAACTATTAAGTACATCTAAACAATTCTAAACACCTTTATAATGTTTTTATACAATATTACATATAATGTGCTGTGATATTAACTAAGTAAATATATACTAAATAATGTATCCCACTAGTTTTTCATTTAACGTCACTCATTATATATAACATTGAAAGAAATTAAAGAACTAAAATCATTTTTGGATAATAATGTTTATATTAAACTACATTTCTATTTCGACAAAGAGATAATGAGAGGGTAGTTGGCCAAAAGAAAAGAAAAAGGGAGAATAAGAGGAATTTAGGAGCCATCCCTCAGCGGGGGCCATCCGGGCAGGTTAATACCACAATGTCTAGAAGAGATGAGGTATATGTGGTAGAGGTGGCATTTCTAGGTAGATCAGTTTGTTATGCACTACTGCATTTGCTTTGATCCTTGAGGAATGCTTGCCTTGCCATGCCAATAGGTGATATACATTTAATTTCTTTATGATAAAGATGAGATCTTGTCAACCATATAAAGCTGCTAATTGTAGTTTTTGTAGAAGTTTTATTTGACTAGATATATTTAGCAATACTGCTAAATCATATCAATTTCTATTACTAAGAAAACTAATAATAAAATTTGAAATTGTTAAAAGTTATTAAATTCAAAAACTTAATAGCAGCACGCCAAAAAAAAAAAAAAAAAACTTAATCGCGAAAGATCTACTTCAAAAGCTATGTATATTTTGAGTTCCGGTTTAGAGTAGTGTAGAGCACAAAATTTAGGACCAATAATATGACATAAATCACATAATTAAATGAGTTAATACAAAACATAAGGAGTTCTAAAAATGTGAAAAAAAGTTAATAATTAAACGCGAAAGATCTACTTCAAAAGCTATGTATATTTTGAGTTCCGGTTTAGAGTAGTGTAGAGCACAAAATTTAGGACCAATAATATGACATAAATCACATAATTAAATGAGTTAATACAAAACATAAGGAGTTCTAAAAATGTGAAAAAAAGTTAATAATTAAATAATATAGTGTTTATTTTTTAATATTTTAAATAATATGACTTATACTATGTCATTAGCCCCTAATTTTATCCCTAAAATTTTTCCTATTTTATCATTATCCTTCAGTTTATAGTTCTCTGGGAACTTAAAAACAACTTTTAGAAACAAAATAAGAAAGTCTTTTCATAAAATTGTATTAGGACACACTTTTAAATTTCAAAAAAATTAAAAATTAGAATATCTTGACATTAAAAATATTAAAATATTTAATTTTAGTTACATGATAGATGATTAGATGAGACCTAAGTGTGTCTTATATTATGTCATACATCTTTGGTGACTATAATTAGTGTCATGATATTTTAATAATATTAGGATATCTTGATTTTAATTTTGACATAGAGAAAATCTTTTCAAAAATAGAAGCAAATAAATACTATCCCTTGATAATACTTTTTGATTCTCGGTGATCGAGGATTTTTAAGGTTTGCTCTTGACTCCAAAATTCAGGGTCAGGATTGAGTCAATTAATGTTAGAACAAATCAATTTTAATAAGCTCAAGTTAATAACTATATGAAAAATTATGCACAAAAATCTATATGGAAAATGATACATAAATATCTCACTACATGCACTATCACAATTTTAGGTGACAATAATTATGATGATACTTTTAAGAGGTAATTTAACTAATAAAAAATTTAAAAACTTTAAATTAAAAATCACATGTTCAAATCTTGGATCAAGTAGAGAGAGGTTTAGTAAAAGAGAAAAATTATCTTTTTTATATAACTTATCATCAGACGTAATATATATATTATAATAGTATTTATCAATCAATATTGTGATAGTGTTTACACCACAAATAACAGATTTTAGAAGAAACTCATGGGTTCTTTCTTAGAACAAATGCATCAATTT